ACCCAAAGTGCATGAAAATTTGGGAAGTTCATGGGTCATTTTGAGAAAACATGTGGCCCGTTCCACACCTAAGTGAATATAATCCTGGAGAACAAAGAGACTCTGTCCTGTGGTTCACTTCTTTGCCACATGCACTTGCGTGGTGTATTTGCCTGTTTTCTCCATGGGCCACATGGCTTTAGCATCCAAGGATTTTATTTCCATGGATGCTAAAGCCATGTGGCCCATGGCCTCAGGAGGAAGCCTCTCTTTCTCTCTCTTGCCCATCTGGTAATGCACTAGCCCATGTATTCTTGCATAGGAGACCATGACCATGTGGCCCAGGCAGCCACATGGCCCATGACTGTATAGGTTCCACATGCAGGTTCCAGGAGGTGGGCTGAAATGAATGGCAGCTGGGAACAAACTAAGCTACCTGGATGGAGTCACTGACCTCTTAGCAGCCACCTGCTGGCTCCAAAAGACATTACTTTAAATTGGAGCAGGAATTCTGGACACTGGCTTTTGTCTTGGCCTTGCTGAGGAGGTAGGCTTTGAGGCCATTCCCCCAGATTGTGCCACAGCTGAATAAAACCTCTTTCCTTTTGCACCAGTGTCTGCCTCACAAATTTGGCTTTTGTGGTGACGGGCAACTGAAACTTCATTGTCTTTGTTCAGTTACAGTACCACATATAAGACATCAATAGAGGGGTGGGCAAAAGTAGGCTTCCAGTTGTTTGTATGGGAAAAGACATGCAGGTTATGATGATTACAATAGCTTTATTAACGCAAAAGAATGTCGCAATGCAACTGTAAACCTACTTTTGCCCACCCTGTGTCTAATAATTAGAGCTGTGTAATGTTAACATAAGAATAGAAAACTTGACCAATGGGACTGTTTCAGGGTCAGGTCCACCAGAAGCTGACACCAGATGAATTGGAAGTATAAGAGATGGATTTGAGAAAAATGTCTGTGAAGAATGAAAGGAAGAAGTAGGGCCCTCAGATCACAATTTAGTTTCAATATCTCTTCAAGGAGAGAAGGAAGGAAGGAAGGAAGATTTGTTAGAAAGAACCTAAGACCTTAATGCAATGAGAAAATCTCATCCAGGCCAACGGAGAGTTCCAAACCAAAGACTGCCCATTGGTAAGTAGAGCCCTATTTTGGACAGTACTGGTCCAACTCCACTGCCCTCACTGTGTGCGGTCATTGTTGGGAATAGTCTAGATGGAGCATGGCTTCAGTGTAAGCATTGCAGTGGATGTTGGAGGTGTGGCAGCTGGAGGAGACTCTCAACCAATTATATTTCTCACAATAGGCTTCCTCTGGAAGGAACTGAGTGGTATGCTCTGGTGCAGCAGTTGTGCCCTGAGGGGTCTGGAGAAAGGAGATTACCCTGACATTCTGAAGGTATGTTATTATAGATGCTAAAAGACAATGGACAGGCTCAGTCATGGGATGAAGATTGACCTTTGTCAAGGAAGATCCTGGCCTAGGACATGACTACTTGCCATGACTCACCTTTAGTTAGGAGGTTTAATTTCCGATCATCCTATGTGGTTACTTAGGTCTCTGAGTGTGTCGGGCCTGACATGTAGGCCTCCCCTGGGCTTGTCAGCTTTAGTATGTGACTACTTTTTTGTCCACGTAAGGGAATTTCTAAGGAAGTTGGGTGGGGGCAGTCTGTCGTTCTCAATTTATCTGACCATGCAATCTTTCTTTTGAGGAACACTACTGACCATTTCAGAACCACACATTGAAAAACAATGACCTAAGGGGAAAAGTTTGTAATTATTCTTCTGGCATTAATGGCCTTGCTCAACATTTTCTTATCATCAAATTTCCTTCATTTCCTAAAATGAGTTTCCTTCTTCGCTTTTTCCTTCAGGGGTCGATGCTAGTTCTTCCTCCTCCAGGGAGTTCCAATTCTCTGTCTCTCTGAACTGTGGCAATTATCATCAGAACTCTTGTTATTTACTTCCTTAGAACAGTCTAGTTATTGATATCCTTCTTGGTCCCGCCTCATGTATCCACCTGAGTAGTGCTAGGATGGTGTCTTACATGTAATTGGTAGTGCAAATATTTGTGTTTGGGCACTTGGGTTGTGCCAAAGGTAGTGCTTGAATAATATTGTGTTTCTTTTCTAATGTGGATAATGGTCACCCCTGCACAAGGCAGTATCTAGGCCTTAGACAAACTTTCTATTGTTCTCTACTGTCACAGAAAACACTGAAAATGATACTGTATTAGCTATTGCTGCTGTAACAAAGTTCCACAAACTTGGTGATGTGGGTCTCACTGAGCTAAAATCAAGGGTGGTGTCCCTTCTGGGGAACTTAGGGAAAAATCCATTTCCTTGCCATTTCCATCTTCTAGAAGACTGCATTCCTAGGCTCCTGGTCCACTTCTACCACCTTCAAAGCCACAAGTGCTCGTTGAGACTGTTAACAGAATTCAACCCAGTAAATTTGAAGCTCTAACTGGCTCTTTTAAAGCAATTCATGAATCAGGCAGCATCTCATCTAGTGACTAGAAGAAAGCTCTAAGGGGTTGTTCAAAACGAAAGACTTCTCTATAGGCAGAAGGGGTGTTATCCACGGAAGAAAAAAAATTATTTTATGGCCACCTCACATTTTAATTTTTTTAAGATTGTTATTTATTTATTTTTAGAGGGAAGAAAGGAAGGGATAAAGAGAGGGAGGGAGAGATGTCTGAGAGATACATCCATTGGTTGCCTCTCATGCTGCCCCCCGCCCCCAGCCAGGGACCTGGCCTGCAACCCAGACTTGTGCTCTGACTGGGAATTGAACAAGACAGACCTCTGGATTCACAGGTTGGCACAGCATCCCCTGAGCCACACCAGCCAGGGCTCAGGGCTCATGTTCTTTTGGGAGAAGGAAAGGGCACGAGTTTTATCATGAAGATTACCTACCTCACTAGTATTGATCAGGATATTCCAGACTGATTGGTTTAAAATACTATTTACCCTGGGAGAGGCAGAAACTGAAATCGGGTTGGTTATTAAGTTTTGGGTTGGTTAGATCACTCCATTTTGGCCTGTTGTTTCTTTTTTAAAAAACAAGGCTGTTAACCTAAAAAGAAAAGGCCAAAGTGAGAGGCAACAAGCCTTTATTTGAGATCCAAAAGAATAGCTAATGGGGAAGGGCTGATTCAGAAAGAAGCCCAAATAGGGTTTTGATTAGGAGGTGAAGGCAAGGAATATTTATGAGAAAGGGAAGGGGAATAATTATTTGAACAGAAGGAAGAAATGTCTATAGTGCAGAAATACTAACATAGTCAGTCATGCTAATTCTAAAAAATATCTTTAATTTTCAGTCCTTGTTCATATCTATCCTGTTAGCTTTGCAAAGAGTTGTTTTGAGCACAGTGTTGCTTTAGGCCCAGTCCAAGGGTTATTTTACTCAGTTCTCACATCCCAGAGGTTCGAGGAGTAAGGCATGCAAGGCAGGTCCTCTGGGATGGCTGCTCTGACTCCATTTTGAAGTGGTTATGTTTACTATTTTTTACAAGGCCTTTTCCTACCACATCACTCTGATCTCCTCTGCCTTTCTTTTCCACTTTAAGAACTTTTGTGACAACATTAGGCCCACCTGGAGAATCAGAATAATTTCCCTCTTTTAAAATCAATTGACTTGCAACCTTAATTCCCCCTTGATTTGCCCAATGTGACAATGTCACAGTTCTCAAAGACTGGGAAGTGGACATCTTTGGGGAGTCATCATTCTGCTTATTATAGGTACCCTGGCTCAAAAGTCTAAATTGAAGGTTTGCATATAGGTGATGGGGGGTGGCAATAAATGGGAAAAGCTTTTTGGAATAACAACACTCTTCAAATACAGAGAGGCCCTGCTGCGTGATCTTAGTATGCACGTTTCTGCTAAAATGGAAATTGCCATCTTTGCTCTGTGATAAATTAAATAATTATGTAAATGAGTTTAGTTTAGAGCAGCAATTTTCAACCCTTTTCATCTCATGGCACACATAAACTAATTACTAAAATTCTGCGGCATGCCAAAAAGTATATATATATATATTATACCAAGCTGACAGAAAATAGGTATAATTTTGATTCATTCACACCCCACAATTATTGTTGTGTTGGCTGTAGTTATTTTCTAAATTTGACAATCTAAGGAAAAAGGGGTCAGTACTCTTGACTGAATAGGCAGGTGTATGTTTTAAAAATTCTTGCAGCGCACGGATTGAAAATCGCTGGCTTGGAGGATGAAAAAGGAGGTTCAAGTTCCTGGCAAATCTTGATGAGGAGGGTGGGCGAAATTCTCTGCATGTCATCTGGAAATAAAAAGGAGGGAGTGAAAAGCATCTGACCTTGAATGAAGTTGAGGGTTGAAAAATCTTAAAGGAATCGAGTTTTATCCACGCTTTTCAAATACGGGTTGAGGAAGAGGGCCCATGTTAAAAGGAGAAGTGAAGAGGCAGCTTAGGAGACACCCAGGGGACAGAAAGTAAAGGATTAAAGAGGTAAATCTCTGAGGTCTTTAGACAAAGATTAAATTTTATGAAACTCCCTCCCTACTTAGTTCAAGGTCATATATAAGGTAGTTGTTTGACGGTTCGAAAATGAATAAGTAAAGCTTTAACGCATGCAGGTTCCACCGAGATTTGAACTCGGATCGCTGGATTCAGAGTCCAGAGTGCTAACCATTACACCATGGAACCACCACATGCAACTGAGAGACTATAGTCTGGTAATTACTTCACGCACAACCAAGAACCCACCAGTGAGAAGCAGGACCAATCAGTTCCGGCATGGGGCTGCAGGAAACGAGGGAGAGGCCACTAAGAGTGTAGTGAGCGGCCCCTAATAGTGTGATCAGCTGGAAGTCCAGCGCTATTTCTCCTCTAGGAGGGGGTGAGAACTTGGAAACCCACGCAGTACTCGCTCAGACTACTCTTCTTGGGCTCAGGGGCGGGGGCACCACCTCTCCGGAAGTACTTCCCCCTCGGGGAAGTACTAGCCTTCGGGGCTGCAGCCCGCCGGAAGTGTCGTAGAGCAGGGAGGGGTTCTTCACCCGGTCCGGCAGCTGAAGCTCGGCGCTCGGGTTACCCCTGCAGCGACGCCCCCTGGTCCCACCGATACCACTGCTGCTCCCGCCCCTACACTCCTCGGCCGCGCAATGGGCACCCGCGACGACGAGTACGACTACCTCTTCAAAGGTGAGGTCATGGGCTCTCCCCCTCTGCACCGAGTCCTGTTCTGGGGCCCGGGACACTCCCGGGGGCCCGCGTCGGGCTACAGCGGTACTGAAATCGGTCTTAGCCTTTCCCTCTCTGTGTGGCTTGTCCTGCAATCTTCCAGCTTGGCCCCTTTTTCTCCCCTCACAAAGGCGGGAGTCCTGGCGGCACACAGGTCTCTTAGAGAGCTCCTCGTAGGCCCGTAAGAGCCCCTCACCAAGTGTTCTTAGGGCGGACTGCCTTCTCCCAAATCAGCTTCCTTTCCTGGCTTTCGGGGCCCTTTCGGAAGGGTCGCCCCTCCCACCATCTAGCTTTCGGATATAGCGCCCCCTCCCCCTCAGTGTGCACCCTGCCAGGGCTCACTCCCCTTCCTGCCCCCCTGTGACCCGCCCTTCGCTTCGCTCCTCACCTTGCCTGGAGCAGACTACCTCTAAAGTCTTTCTCATCTGCCCCTGTTCCTGTGCGAGTCGTTCCTCTGCTTCCCCTCAGTCCCTCCCTCCCCTCGGACACACAGCTCTCATAGCCATCTTCTTCCATCCCGGCGCCAGGCCCTCAGTAAAATCTGAGCGGGCCAGCGGCCCCCACCGGCTCCACAGTTATCGTTGCCAGTAACCTCGCACTGTCCCCGGGATTGGTAGCGCTTTCTCTACTTTCTCTCCCCGAATAGTTTCGAGCTCTCTCAAGTCTTCTGTGCGACCCCAAGGGTGGGGAGGGGCGAATGTTGGGCAAGAGGGATTGTCCGTCCCCCACGCACGCACTTGTCGCAGTGACCCGGCGGACTGATGTGATTTCCCACCTAGCCTTTTATCTCCTACTCTCCCTACGCAGCGGCCACCAGCCCGGGATAACTCTTGACTCAGCTCTCGAGAAGGGGTTGCGGATGGGTGTTGGCTATTATCCTTGCCAGACCTGAAGGCCCAGTTCCAGAGCAGGAAAGGTTGTGCGCTGCACAAATACTAGCTTGCTTTATCACTATGGACTGGTTGCTTCCTGCCGCAGCACTGGGAGGATCCAACCTTTGGGTGTTTTTAGAACAGGAAGAGAAGAGTCCTAGTTGGCTGCATACCTTTCCCTAAAGGTGGGGGGTGGGGAGAAGTTATGTGCTCTCTGGTCAAATTAAGTATTAGACGGAGTGCCCTAGGACAAAACATACTGGAAGGTGGGGAGTGGATAGAAACGATTGCTTATTGGTTAGTCCGGAAAGAATCCACAGAGATAAAGGGTACAGTTTTCAATGAGAACAGAGTACCAGTAAATGCTTTTTTGTTCAGTGAATGTGTTCTCACTCTGATGCCCTTTTCATTGCTCCTGAATTAGGAGGGCAGCCATCAGTGATATGTTGAACAAAGATCACTACTAGGGAGGAAGAAGCCATTGCTATTAAAGCCTTACAGCGGAGGGTGGAGTTTTCGAAAAAGAGTGTTAAGCGTAGTGACAGTTTCCGACTTTGCCATTGGGTGCTAAGAATGATTGACCAAATGAAGCAGGTATCATTTTGCTTTACTAATACTTTGCAAATCTGGGCGTACTAGCTGATGATACCTCCTTATCACCACTTACTCTTCTGGGCCAGAATGTTCTATTATATGGGCAGAATACCTTCATTATACACCCCCAACCCCAATGGGGGAGTCATTTATGAGAAGAGGGTACTTAATGCATTTTACAGGTTTGCTGGTCAGCTGAGGTCAGGTGAGGTCACTTAAAGTGAGACCTTGGAGACTGGGGTTTAACTATTAAAGGGAGATTTTTTAAAAAGATTTTATTTATTTATTTTTAGAGAGAGGGAGAGAAACATCAGTGTGTGGTTGCCTCTCACATGCCCCCACTGGGGACCTGGCCCGCAACCCAGGCATGTATCCTGACTGGGAATTGAACCAGTGACCCTTTGGTTCACAGCCCATGCTCAGTCCTCTGAGCTAAACCATCCAGGGTTGCTTTTTATTATTTTTTTAATAAGGTGCGGTGGCAGTGGGCAGCTAGCTACCTTTGAAGTAATTAATTTAGAACAAGATAGTGATTTTCAATCCTTTCCATCTCGTGGCACACATAAACTAATTACTAAAATTCTGTAGCATACCGAAAAAATATGTTTTCTGCCGACCTGACAAAAAATATATATAGTTTTGATTCATTCATACTGGATTCATACTGGACAGGTGTTGTGTTGGCCGTTGTCATTTTTTAATTTGACCATCTGAGGGAGAAGAGGTCGGTGCTCATGACCAGATAGTCAGATACTGCATGTTCTAACAACTCCTGCGGCACCCCGGTTGAAAACCGCCAAGATACACTGTCAGTATTTCTCCTCTTTGGTTTGGAACTTAAATCTCAGCTCTAGAAGCTTTTTTTTTTTTTTCTCACTAAGAATATTTTCCTCAATTGGCATGAGGAACTTTAAATTAATTTTGAGATTAGAACGTACTATTAATGATTGAGAACACAGGGCTTTGTAATCACTAAGGCCTGATTCAAATCCTGTTTCAGGTCTTTAAATTTGTTTTGTGACCTTGAGAAAGTTAACTTTTTGAATTCTAGTTCCCTCATTGTAAAAAGAAAATAATATGTATCTTGCAGGACTATTGTGAAAGTTAAATGGGACTGGTTGTAAAATTTTAGTTTCTGTGAGGGCTCAATAAATGGTAACAGTGTGAAAGGAGTTATTATGGTGGTGTTGGCTTTATTTATTTATTTATTTATTTATTGACTGACTGATTTTAGAGAGAGAGGAAGGAATGGGTCGGGGAGACGTCAGTTTGTTCTACTTACTCATTCATTGGTTACTGTTGTACGAACCCAGTCTGGGGGATCAAACCTGCAACCTTGTGGGGACAGTGCTCTAACCGACTGATCTATCCCACCAGGGTTTGTCAGGTTTTTTTAACCATAAATCTTTGTATATATAAGAGCATTTAAGTATTAGTAAGGAAACTAGGAACTTCCAAAGGACTTTGTTTCTATGGATTATGGTTTAATTTTGTTGTACATTTTGCTGTTTAAGATAGGGTGTTTAAAAAATTCTGCTGAGGATTTCCACTTTTTTAAAGCTCTTACAGGATATGAGTCACTTTTTTTTTTTTACTTCAGTGCTGATTATTTAGCCAAGTTCTTATGTATGCAATTACACTAATTGAAAATGAAGGAACAATAATTTCATTTTAAAGTGGTTTTATTCTATAGATGAGATGAGCTGCAGCTCCCTACTTGGAAGAAGGCTTACCTAGCAGTCTTAATAGTTGAGGGAATTGGAAGTTAGTTTGTAACTCTAACCAGTTAAAAATGAAGAGAGATTTTGATTAGTATAGGATAGAGTGCTCCAAATGGGAATACAATGGAGGCAGAACTGGACATTTATTCTAAATTATGTAATTGTTCTTGAACATTAATTTTCAGTTAAGTTTAGCATTGAGATTTTTGGTGGGGGATTGATTTTATTTTTAACAAATTTACTTTTTGCCCTGGCTGGCATGGCTCAGTCGGTTGGCGTGTCATCCAGTAAACCAAAGGGTTGTGGGTTCAAGTTCTGGTTGGGGCACGTTCCTGGGTTGCAGGTTTGGTCCTGGTCAGAGTGCATAGGAGAAGCAATCAATTGATGTTTCTCTCTCACATTGATATTTCTCTCCCCGCCTTCCCTTCTCTCTAAAGTCAGTGAGCATGTTCTTGGGTGAGGATTAAAACAAAACCTTGATTTTTTATTTTAAACACTAATTCTACAAGTATGTGCCCACACACTGTGGTTAAGGCCCTGTGGTACATAGTCAATCATGGCTCCTATTTACAAGTATTTTGGTAGACACCAACCAGTCACATTTTCTGAAAATAACTGGATACCTAGTCTACGCCATTTTCTTCTTAATCTCATTGAAGGCCAGTAGTAATAAATTATCAGCTGATTGTCTGTGGAAATGATATATGAATTTTGCTGTCTTGCACCTTGGCAGTTTTTCTTCCACAACTTTTACTTGAGCAACTCAGTTCTGCTGAGTCTGGAAAAACGTATCTGGACTTCAGCCTTACTTTGAACGCGTTTTATTTTAAAGAGTCTTTTGGCGAGGTACTATGAATGAATACACGGGGTGGGGCAAAAGCAGGTTTACAGTTGTTCAAATGGAAAATAATACAATAATTAATAATAACACAAGAATGAATTGCGTTTGGCTTACTTACAACTGTAAACCTACTTTTGCCCCATCCTGTAGTTGAAAGAGTAGAAAGATCTCCATATTTATTTATAAAAACCAGTATGAAGATCATCAGTTATTCCTTCAGGTAATAACTTAAAGGTCTGATGTGCTACGATCAATTGATTTGTCAACTTAAGTTTTAATCTAGTATTTTAGTTTGCAAGGAAGTATATAAAACTAAATGTGGTTGAATAGGCGCAAATTTTAACTAAATAACAGATAATATATGTATTCTGTTTTAATGGCACTTAGAAGCCTAATATTTAATATCATTGAACCAAGTTTAGTATTGGGTTAGAGATGATACTTAAAATTCAGCAGATAAGGTTAGTGGTAATAAAAACTATCAGGTTATTTTAGAAATGCTGTAGCTGCTTCATATATAGATGCTGTTATTTATGTTTATATATTTTATAGAGATGGCTATAATTATAAAATGTTTAGAATACTTCTAACATTAGTTCTGGAAAACAAAAGTCACTGCAAATTTCTCTCTTGAACTGTAGGATGTGATCATATAGTTTGTCATATTTTTAAAATACAATTAAATATCATCTTAATGAGAAACAGATCAGAAATTTAAGTTTGAACCCATGAAAATTTTTCTTTTAATTATAGCCAGTAAATTCTCTTCTATTGCTTACATAATTTAGTCTAGTTTGTTTATTTTTTTCAGTGAGCCTAAATGTTTACTTCTTGGTTTGAGTTCTCATTTGGTAACTGAATAGAAGCAGCTTTCCTTATTGTGTCATTTCTCAGCATCATCTTGGCAACACTATTTTATTTTAAATCCTCACCTGAGGATGTTTTATTGATTTGAGAGAGAGAGCGAGAGAGAGAAACATAGATCAGTTGCTTCCCATATGTGCCCTGACTGGGGATGGAACCTGCAACCTTTTGGTACATAGAATGATCATTTGAGCCACCTGGGCAGGTTGCAGCACTATTCTTAAAGAACTGTTATCTTCTGTTGTAATTTAAAAATCCTTTAACAAGTTGCTAGTCTTAGTTCTGGCAATCTTGTGTATGTCTAGTTGAGAAAACTATTTATACTGTATAAAGCATTCATGAGTCTTGAATTATTTTCAGCTAAAGATGCTATTTTTTATAATGTTAAAATTAATTGGTCACTATCAGGAGAAAAAAATGTCCTCATTAACTTCACAATGGTTTAAAGATTTGAGGATGAGGAGACTGTGAAGATAATTATTAAAGCGAAGGCTGAAAGGCAAGAAACCAAAGGGCTAGAGTTTTGTGGGAGGGAGAAGATGTTCTTCTATTTTCTCAAGGTGTTGTCATTCTAGATGTCTTGCTCTTTGACTCCTGAACTACTAATTGGTATCTGTGAGTGTCTGTGAAATAGAAATGGTCAACTTCTTGGGTTTTTTCTACTTGCTTATTCCCATTTCAAGTGAGGCTTTTATACCTCAGTGCTAGTGAGAGGCCAGAAATGATTCAAACAATATTTCCTCAGCAGAACATTTTTTTTTCTTTTTCTTTTAATTGTTGTTCAAGTACAGTTTTCTGCCCTTTACCCCCATTCCAGCCCACCCCCCAGCCCTCCCCATCTCCCTCCCGTCCCGCCCTCCCCCCATATTGTCCATGTGTCCTTTATACTAGTTCCTTCAAACCCTTCTTCCCTTCCCCTGAAATTCCCTCCCCTCTCCCCTCTGGTCACTCTCAGCCTGTTTTCAATTTCAGTGTCCTTGATTCTATTTTGCTTATTTGTTTGTTGATTAGATTCTTGTTAAAGGTGAGATCATATGGTATTTGTCTTTCACCACCTGGCTTATTTCACTTAGCATAATGCTTTCCTGTTCCATCCATGCTGTCACAAAGGGTAGGTGCTCCCTCTTTCTTTCTGCATAGAATTCCATTGTGTAAATGTACCATAGTTTTTTGATCCATTCATTTACTGATGGGCGCCTAGGTTGCTCCTAGCACTTGGCTATTGTAAGTTGTGCTGCTATGAACATTGGGGTCTCAGCAGAACATTTGATCTCTTGCACTAAGAGGCAATAGTAAGTATCCTTTTAAGAGGGTTCAATTCTATAACTGAAACTGGGATTTGACCTCACATCCAGAGTGATGGACCTTGGAAACTGAGATGTCAACCTTTTTGTAAAATTGGAAGTATATGACAAGGTCTGTCTGGAAAAAGCCCAGCCATTGTTAATAAAAGGGAGTGATTTGTGAAACATCAATGTAACCTGGTGGCCAAGGAGAGTAGACTAGAATGCACATGTGTGAAAGATGATGACATTGCTGTGGGGGTGGTAGATGCTGTTGAGTGAACATTTGTACTGTGTGGCCATCACATTCAAAATGAGCGAGTAGAGCAATAAATCTACATCAAATTTTGTGTTACGCTAGAACATTCCTCTGTGGAAACTATTTGGGTGATTCAGAAGGCCACAGCTATGGGCAGCTGGTGATTGGCAGCTTCATCAGAACTGTGTGCCCACTCATGCATCATGTCCCATGCAGAGATTTTGATGAGACATCAAATCATCCAGGTGATTCAGGACCCCTGCCCTGGCTACAGCCCAGATTTGGCGCCGTGTGACTTCTGGCTTTTCCCAACACTAAAATCACCTTTGAAAGAGAAGAGATTTCAGAACATTGATGAGATTCAAGAAGATATGGGGCAGCTGGTGATGATTGGGAGAACTATGTGAGGTCCCAAGGTGCCTGCTTTGAAGGGGACTGAGGCATCATTATCCTATTTACAGTGTTTCTTGTGTCTTGAATCTTCTTCAATAAATGTCTCTTTTTCATAGTCCATGGCTGGATACCTTCTGGTCAGACCCTGTGTTGTCTCTGAAGGATACTTTCAAAACCTTAATATATTCTTCCTTAGTGTCCAGATAAAAACATTTATTGTAATATCTGTGTTTGCCATGATACCTTTGCTACCTCTAATTGACTATATAGCCAGAAATAATTGCTCATTGTGCTGCATGGAATCACTGCTCTCTGGATGATTTCTTGCTGAATCAGCTGATAGAGGAAACCAGAAAGAAACACATTTGATAATATCCTGCCTCCAAGACTGTCTAGAGGCCAGCTTATATCCGCTCTTGTGGCAAGGAAGGAATGTGTAATGGATTCTCTGCCCTCTAAGCAGAATGCAGTGAGCTCTCAGTTTTTACCTCCCTCCCCACTCCCCCCCAAATCCCAGTTTCTTTAGCAAGGCATGGTCTTATTCTTAGATGTTATTCTTACATGTTTGGTTTTCTAGTCCTGGTGTCTATATCAGTGAGCTGGTAAGAAGTAAGAGGCATTAGTAGTTCACAGTAGGAATAAATATAATATTTTCTGAAATATCTATAATCATACATTTTTATAAAGGAAAAAAGTTAAGAAGTTTAGATCCTATAAAGTTGGTGAACTCATTTTGTTCTTTAAATTTAGGTAGACATGATTTAAAATAACTGCCTATTTCCCAATTGTTTTTGAAATTCTTAAGGGTAATATTGCCTTGGGTGAAAAAGAATCCTGAAGTGTTTAGTTAGTAAATAATCTGTCTTCTAATAGTAATTTTAGGAAATAAATTCATCTAATCAAAATCTGTCTTAAGGTCCTCGCTGGGTAGCTCAGTGGGTTAGAGTGTCGTCCCCGATATGCCAAGGTTGTGGATTTGCTCCCCGGTCCAGGCACATACAAGAAGCAACCAATGAGTGCGTAAATAAGTGGAACAACAAGTCCATGTCTATCTGTTTGTCTCTGTCTCTCCCCCCTCCCCTCACCCTGCCTCCTTTCCTTCCTCTCTCACCCCCTTTCTCTTTCTAAAATGAAGAGTTTTTTAAAAAATTCATGAAGTGGTAAGTGAAAGTATACATCTGCTGTTGGCTCAGAATTATTAGCTTTGTAGGGCCCCTGTTAAACTTAGTGGATGGAGTATTTGTTTTTGGAGGGGTTTCTACTTTCCTGGCGATCTGATAAATGCAGCTATTAAAGGGCCATTGTAGTTTCCGTGATCTGGGTGGCAAAGTTTATAAACCTGCCTCATTTGTTAAATATATTTCATTCTTGCCTAGGTGGGAGTCCTAAGGTCAGACCCAGTCTTTGATGAAACTAAGTAGAACATAGTATTCATTTTTTCCCTCTCTACCACCCACTAACAACATCCTTTGTTGCTTTCATGTCATATAAGTTAATATCACAAATTGTTCACTTGGTTTAGGATTTATCTTTGAAGTTACTTACCTTCTAAGGCAGCAGTTTTCCATATTTTTCATCTCATAGCACATATAAACCAATTGCTAAAATTCTGCAACACACCAAAAAAAATTGTTTATTGCTGATCTGACCCCCCAAAATAGGTATAATCTTGATTCACTTATTACACCAGAAGGCTACTGTTGTGTTGTCATTTTTTAATTTGACAATCTAAAGGAAAAGAGGTTAGTGCCCCTGACTAAATGGTCAGGTATTGCATGTTTTAAAAATTCTTGTGACACACTGCTTGAAAATCAGTGTTCTAAGGTAGTGTGTTTGTCTCATTCACCTGATATAAAGTTCTTTGTCTTTTCAGTTGTCCTTATTGGAGATTCTGGTGTTGGGAAGAGTAATCTCCTGTCTCGATTTACTCGAAATGAATTTAATCTCGAAAGCAAGAGCACCATTGGAGTAGAGTTCGCAACAAGAAGCATCCAGGTTGATGGGAAAACAATAAAGGCACAGATATGGGACACAGCTGGGCAGGAGCGATATCGAGCTATAACATCAGCGTAAGTCTCAACAGTTTTTAAGTTCTGTGAAATAGGCTGCCATCAAGTGAATTAATAGACTTTCAGTATTGGAAAAGTTACTGGGTTCCCCCCCCCTTTTCAGAAATCCAGTATTAGGATTTTGAAATTTACTTATAAAGGTGTTTTTAAATATATATAAACCATATATTTAGTTCTTCTTGGTGTTCCCTTCCATTTTGTGGTTGTCTCCTAATAGTTACATGCATTTCTGTTTTCAGATACTATCGTGGAGCTGTAGGTGCCTTACTGGTTTATGACATTGCTAAACATCTTACCTATGAAAATGTGGAGCGATGGCTGAAAGAACTGAGAGATCATGCCGATAGTAACATTGTTATCATGCTTGTGGGCAATAAGAGTGATTTGCGTCACCTCAGGGCAGTTCCTACAGATGAAGCAAGAGCTTTTGCAGGTTAGTGATATGGATGTCATCTTATTCCGGTGATTCTGTATTTCTTACTATTATGTCTTTTGATAATCCTTCCAGTGGGGTAATCAGTTACAGTAATTTCAGAAAGGTAAAGTTGAATGAATAATGAATGCTCAGCAAGGATTATTTTAAACGTGTGTAATGGCTGCAGGGCTCTTTTGCTTAACTTTGAGTTTTTAAAGCACTAGAATTTGAGTTTTTGCTGCCAAAAATTGAGTGTAAGTACTGTTTTCTTTTCTCTCCCTGGAAAGGGTAGGTGAAATCTATTCTGTGCTTCTATTTCTTTTTCTGTTATGTCTCTGTGATTTACCAAGGCTGTGCTACGTGTGGGTCTGAAAAGGAGTAGCTCAGGGAGTGTCAAAGACCAATAGGCATTTAGCTGCTGAGGAGTTACAACTTTTTTAGCTTTTTAGAGGGTCCACCTGTCTATCTCTTGACACTGCTCTGGAGAGGCGTCCTGCCAGAGGGCAACAGATTGGCTGGGGTGCATTCTTGGCTAGTGGAGGTCGTGACCGTTTTTGTGCCGTTTTCTATGCCAGTTCTTTAGTTTTCCAGGCAAGCAGCTCTGTTTCAGATAATATAGTTACAGGGTTCTAAGGGAATCACATACACCTGTTCTTATTCATGCTGTAGCTGTGTGGTTAAAGGACAGTAAGAGGTGGAGGTAGCTGCGTATTTGATAAGTTTAGTCCATTCTGAGTAGTGTGTCCATTCTGGTGGTAGTATTTAGATATAATAGGTATTTTAATGAATCCAATAAAAGATTTGGTTATTTTTAATCTACTAAAGTATAAGCAGAGTGGTATCTATATTACTCAAGAAGTTGGGGAGGTCTTGGGATTAAGAAAGGTTTTTACTTTTTCCTTTGAAGGCTTGAGTATATTACATCCCTTGTATTAAAATTTGACAAAAGTGAAGTTTTTGTGTCTCCCTACAGAAAAGAATGGTTTGTCATTCATTGAGACATCAGCTCTAGACTCTACAAATGTAGAAGCTGCTTTTCAGACAATTCTGACAGGTAAGTCTTGCACTTTCAGAACACACCAGTGGGAAATAAGAGTTTTAGGGAGGCTGTTTTTTTATTTATTTTGAGGGAGAGAGAGACAGACAGACATTGATTTGTTGTTCCACGTATTTATGCACTTATTGGTTGATTCTTGTTTGTGCCCTGACCAGGGATCGACCCGAAACCTTGGTGTATCGGGTCAATGCTCTAACCAACTGAGCCACCTGGCCAGGATCTAGGGAGGTAATTTAAACAAAATAATTGGGAAAACAAACTAAACTATCTAGCACACTATCTAAGAATAACTATCATTTGAGAGCTACTATAGCAAGAGCTATAAAATTAGTTATAACCATTGCTTGCTGAGCTTTAATCATCCTAATTCATCTGCTTTACAGTGGGAAATACACTTTAAAATTGTTCACTTCTATTATTACCTCAATCCATGTCTAAATTCATATAATTCATAGTGATAAACACAAAGTAATGTTTAAATCTGCTTTCTAAGATAAATATTAAAATTCCAGCTATGGAAAGATATAAATGTCTTGTTGAAATTTAGTAGGGTAAATACATTTTAGATTCTATGTGTTAAAGACACAGCTAGGGAAAAATATATTCTTAAAAATAAAAAAAAAATAGTACGATTATCCCATGATATATTGTAGAAGAAGCAGGGTGTTGTTACCTGTGGATAAAATCAGCCAGTGATTGCATATAGAAAAGTTTAACCTCAGTACAGTGGGAAAGGAACACAGTTCCAGCTGTTTTGGAAGGTGGATGAGCATGCCGGCTCAGCCTCGGATAAGAAGGCGTTTTATTAGTGTTGACTCATATTTACCCAGACTTTCTTAGAATAACCAGTTTTAATCTTTTTTTTTAATTAATTAATTAATTTTTTTAAAATTATTTTTCAACTACAGTATTCTTTCTTTTACTCCCTTCCCAGCCCACCCCCCACCAGTTTTAATCTTAATCCTCTAATACTTTGATAGGTTGTTTTAAGTACTTTAAAATGTCACGTTACTCTTAAGAACTTGATAGTCTTAATACATAGTATAGTCTTGTTTTAAAAAATCTATATGGAGAAATGGTTAAGTAAATGAGTTTCCAGTTATAATGTATCATAATTTTAATTTATTCTTTGTATACTTGTATTAGAGGTCAACAGATTTTAATTTCTAAATGTTGTCTTATTTTACTGTAAAAAATGTAGGGAATTAAACCTAGAATTTAAGAGCATGGACTTGGAAGCCTGACTTGCGTTCTAGTCCTGGCTCCTCCGCTTATTATTAGCTCTGTAATCTTAGGTAAGTTACTTAAACTTTCTAGGCCTTAATTTTTTTGTCTTTTAAATTTAAATATGTATTGGGTAGTTCCTTTGCTTTCCTTTTGGAGAGGGTCTCTTTATAGTAAAAACCTGTGCTATGATTTGACTCAACCTTTAGTGTGACTGCAAAGTTTTTGTCTCTCTAGCCCACAGAATTGTCTGTCACCGAGACATCTGCTCTAAACTCCAGAACGAGTTCATGCATGTAAAATGCTTAGTTAGCTACCCCTGGTACATAGTGAATCGTCGATAAAATAGTAGTTAAATAGCAGTTCTGGCAGAAAAAAAAATTAACTGAAAAAGAAACTAAATATTGGTAATTCACATACCTATTTTATTAGAATTCTTAGAATTCTTTCCTGTTATCAGAAAAATAGTAACGGAAAGAACTGGTGCTGGGGTTGGATTAATAGTCTTTGGAACATAGTAGCTAGCTTTCACTTAGAATCTTCTGTCAGTTTCATTGCCGAGCTTTTCAAGCAGTAAGATTTGGTTAAATATGCAGTATGTCTGCAAATCCTACTTTTTTTTCTTTATAACCACTTGTGTGGATTCTGTTGAGTCAATATGTAGAGTGCTAAATTTAGATCTAGGAGTGGTAGGCTTTTACTTTTTATCGCTTTGCTCCCGCTTCCTCTGTAACCGAGCTCACTGAGCCTGCCTGGTCCTCTGATTCATAGTATCTTAGAATGAGCAAAAGTCATCTTGAAGGTCTAAGTCCCCCCTTTTTTTTTTTTTTAAGATTTTTATTTATTTATTTTTTAGAGGGGAAGGGAGGGAGGAGGAGAGGGAGAGAAACATGTGTGTTGTTGTCTCTTGTGTGCCCCCTATTGGGGACCTGTCCTTCATCCCAGGCGTGTGCCCTGCCTGGGAATCGAACCCTTTGGTTTGGAGGCTGGCATTCAGTACACTGAGCCACACCAGCCAGAATTTATCTAGAAGGTCTGAGTCTGTTAAGGCCTCTAAAATGTCACTTGCAGAACTTTTTGGTGAATCCTTATTGTTGGGGTATTTTTTATGTTCCATCAATCTCTGCAATAATTCTAGCTCATTTATTTAGATATTAAGTGAGGGTGAGCCCAAGTCTTCCTCCTGCTGTTAATTATTTTACACATCATTGGTAACACTGACTTTATGATCTACTAAATAGACCTTATGAACTAAAAAACAAACAGTGATGTACTTAAAAGTGAGTGTTTTGTCCTTAAAGATGACGAACATTTTTTTTCTTACAATTTACCGTAGGTTAAACTTTTGTTACTGCTTGAATAATGTTGCTTATAAGCCAGCAAGACTTTAGCTTCACTTAGTACCAGTTTTCCTCTCCATATTCACTATTTCCTCAGCTTTCTGCATACATGTTAGTGTTGATCTGTGGGATCAGAGATTACTGCATATGGCAGCAGACATCTGTACTGTTTTGCAAGTGTTAGGATGTTTGTTTAAACTTTTTTTTTATACCAGTGGGAGTATTAATGCATTAAAAAACACAGGAAAGAGAAAAATAACCTCATTAAGCTTAATTTACCCTAAATGTTAACAGTTTTGAGGGAGCATTTACAACATTTACATTGTATTTTGATGTTGCTGTAAGAAGAAATAGCTTTTTAATTTTTAAGGTGCAAAATTATGTGTTGAGAATTTTATCTTACATTATTACTCCAAAGTTAATTGTGTTGCTTATTTTAGAATAGCCACGGCATTTTTGACATTCATGAATTTGATGGTAATTCCATGACATAATTTTGCTGATGGTATTTTTAGGGGTAGTCAGCCCGTATGTGCATGAACCTGATAAGATTTCCTAGCCTCTGCTTTTCAGTGCAGTTTTGTTTTCTTTCATCCTCAAGTTCATTAAGGAATGTTATTAATCTATTGTTTCCATAGTCTGTTATTTTTTTCTCTTGGAATTTTGACAATTACAGCCTTGAAAAGTTACAATAATTGTACAAAGAATTTGCAAATATCCTTAACCTACATTTCCCAAATGTTGATATATTCCCATGTCTGTTTTACTATTTTTTCTACTTCTCCCTAAATATATACATATTTTTCTCTCTAAATATATACATGTTCTACCATTTCATATGATAAACATGCTGATCCTTATGTCTAAGCACTTTTTATTGTGTATTCTATGAAAATAGGGACATTGTCTTTCATAACCGTAGTACAGTTCTCAAAATCAGTTAGAAGGTAACTCTAAACATCAGTGTCCAACTACAGACCTTATTCATATTTTGCCAGTTGTTCCATTTATCAGCAAATTAAGACTGGAGTCAAACTGCACACTGTATTCATATGTTGTATCTCTTTGGTTTCCACTAATCTGGAACAGTTTGCCAGTCTTGCATATATTGAAACTTTTTAAAGGATACAGGTCAGTTGTTATGTACTTCAATTTGGGTTTTTGCCTACTGTTTCCATATAATTACATTCAGGTTATGTATTTTTAATAGGAACATCACAAAAAGGGTGCTCAGTGTACTGTATCAGGAGGCTCGTGATACTGGTTTGTGTTATTCAGTGCTGGTGATATTAACTTTGATACTTTGGTTAAGGTGGTGTCTGCCAGTTTCTCCATGTAATTAGTAAGTCCAAGCCATCTTTTTAGTATGAAGACTAAATCCTTGTGTAGTTGAAAGAATTTTGATTCACTTAGCACATTGACTTAAAAGTGGAGTGAGACTTTTCAGGTATTGCAGTAGTCTCCCCTTATCTGCGGTTTTACTTTCCTCAGTTTTAGTTTTCCACAGTCAGCTGTGGTCCAAAAATATTAAATTCCAGAAGTAAACAATTCACAAGTTTTCAATTGTGTGCCATTTTGAGTAGTGTGATGAAATCTCGCGCCCAGCTCCATCCTGCCCAGGACATCAGCCCCCCTTTGCCCTGCATTTCCTGCTGTTTACACTAGCCTGCCTGCTAGTCACTCTTGGTTATGAGATGACTATGTAGCAGTGATTGTGTTCAAGGAACCCTGGCCACATTTTAGGCATCCACTGGGTTTTTTTACTGTATCCCTGGCAGAATCTCTTAATTAGGTGTAGTAGCTTTGTTTTTGGCACGTGGCAGCTTTTGAATACTTCTCAGTATATCAAATTGGAGCATTTTTTGACCTTTGAGAAACTTAGGTGGTGGGCAATGGGTTTGAAGAAGACGTAAATATATATATTTTGTGTGTGTGTGTGTATATATATAATACATATATATATATATATATATACACACATACATATATATATATTTTTTTTTAAGAGCTATATCTTTTTTTAACATTTATTTATCTTTAGAGGGGAAGGGAAGGAGAGAGGGAGAAAAATATCAATGTATGGTTGCTTCTCGTGCATCCTCTGCTGGGAACTGGCCTGCAACCAGGCATGTGCCCTGACTGGGAATTGAATGGCGATCCTTTGGTTTGCAGTCCCGCGCTTAATCCACTGAGCTACACCATTCAGGGCGAAGAAGGCCTAAATATTTTTGACCGAGGCTGTAGTAGTGGAATAACTCAAGCCTATGCTATTTTCACAATTTTTGTGGGAACTGAAGAACTTTAGCTCTTTTTGTTTCCCAAATTCGAACAGTGGCATTTAATTTCCTTAGAATTGACTTTGCAACTTGACCCCTACTTCCATTAAAGTAGAAATAGGTATATGCTGTTTTAAATTTAACATTACCTGGTTATATTTAAAGGTATCTTATATTTATATTTTATTTCACATTTAGATCTACAAGAGATCCTTATATAAGAACGATAAAGTAGTATTCCTTTTCTTTCTGACCTTACATATTCTTTGGATGTCTTAAAAAGGGACTGCACAGGAATTGGTGCATGTCATGTACATTTAGTTCTAAAGGAAAGCATGTCCTTGAAAAAGGAAAATATTTGCATCTGGTTTTATCAAGTTACTAGTGCTGTTCCCTTCCCCTATTTCAATAACCTTTTCTAATCAGGTACCAGCTAGAAAGGTACCTGCATCCTGTTTTCTTACCCAAAGTTTCTTTTCTTTTTTTTAGTGACATATCTAGCCACAATTAAGTAAATTAGTTATGTAGCCTATTAGTGCCCACTGTAACTGAAAGAAAAATTTTCTCCTAGTTGTCTGACCAATGCTTTCCTATTTATTTATTGCCTTTATTATTTTTAGTGGCAGACAGACATCTTAGTGACTGTGGCAAATGTAGCAGTAATCCATTTCTACAAAACGGTTCGCAGCACTCGTAGGCAGTTATACAACACTGCTCAAATGTCTTGCTTTGTAATGAGATCTCTTTAATTATTTAACTTTCTATGTTCTCAGAGAATTCTTCCTTTTCCTCACTTTCAGTATTTGCTTTTCATGTAAGAACCTGTATTTTTTTTTGTTCTGATTCCCCTAACTTAATGTTTAATACAACTTGCAGAGAAGTTGAAATTTGTAGAGGGTCACATTTAATCATTTGCACTTGAAAAAGAAGAGCTAGCCACCTACTTTGGAATTAGAGAAAAAACATAAAGAACGAATGGTATAGTTTTACAGTAAGTTGATGATCGTTATGCCTTAGCCACTAGCCTGATTGAATGACTGTCTTTCTTACTCTTGACACGCTCCAGCCCCACCCCTCTTTAGTGAAAATCTAAATGAAGACTCCATACCCTTTTAATATTTTATTTATTTTTAGAGAGAGGAGAAGGGAAGGGGAAAGAGTGAGAGAAACATCTAATGTGTGGTTGTCTCTCACATGGTTCCCACTGGGGACCTGGCCCGCAACCCAGGCATGGGCCCTGACTGGGAATTGAACCAGAGACCCTTTGGTTCACAGCCCGTGCTCAATCCACTGAGCCACACCAGCTAGGGTGGTCTTATTTTTTTAAATTCTTGTCAGTAGTCTTTATTGTAGTCTCTTTTTTTCTCTTGATGGGTTTTGAGCTTTGAACCACTGTCAACCTTCTCCAATACTGATGTTAGCACCGCTCCTCCCTGCACCCCCCACCTGCCAGTTTACAAAGGGCACGCCAGCTGTCAGTGTTTCCGTTACTTTACACATTCAGTTTACATGTATAGCTTGCTGTTCAGCTTTAGGGAAATTTTTATTTTGGAGAAAGTGTGTTAAGTCAGCTTGTACATTTCTTTTTCTTTAACTTTTTATTATGGGACGTTTCCAAAATATTAAAGGTAGGATAGTATCATGAACTCTGGTAGCTGTCAACCATCAGCTCATGGCTAACCTTTCCTCCACCTGATCCCTCTACCAGTATTTTGAATCAACTCCCAGGTTTTACATAATTTCATTTGTAAACACTTCGTGATGTATATCTGAAAGAGTAAGACTTAAACCCATAACAACAAAACCACTTAAAAATTGGCAGTAATTTCTAATTGTCATTTATTATTCAAACAATATGATTTTTTTTTTTACTTCAAATTAGAATCCAAATGATGCTCATATTGCAGTTGGTTGACTTGTTCTTGGAGCATTTTGCAAACACGATTTCACTTTCTTTTATCCTATAACTTTGTGTTTCTTAAATTTTCAGGTAAACACCGTAGAGCCTTCATGTAGAAACATCAACGTGTCATATTTAGATTATTTCTCCATGTGTATATATACTTTCCCCCCTTTGCTGAATTTTTGGAAGATAAATTGTAGACATTGTAGCACTGTACTACTAAGTACTTAAGTATTTTCTCTCCTAAGAACAAGGCATGCTCCATATACCATACACCATACCCAAGAAGTTCATTTTATACTGTATCAAAAATGTGCAGTTCACATTGTTTTTCCCACATGTACTAATAATGTCCTTTTATAGGATTGGTTTTTACATTTTAAATCTAGGGTCTGGTCAGTTGCATTGATGGAATTGTTTTACACGTGTGGAATCAGACAGAGTAGCCACTGGTAACAGGTTGTTATTGAGTAACTTGAAATATAACTAGTGAACTGAAGCATTGGATTTTACATTTTATTTAGTTAATTTAAATAAATTTAGTTTATCAGTTTAGTAGGTGGCTACTGTATTGGATAGTACAGATATAGAATATTTGTCCTGCCCTGGCTGGTGTAGCTGGGTGGATTGAGCGTGGGCCTGCGAACCAAAGGATCGTGGTTTGATTCCCAGTCAGGGCACATGGCTGGGTTGCAGGCCAGTTCCCAGTGGGGGATGCATGAGAGGCAACCATACACTGATATTTCTCTTCCTCTCTTATTCCCTTCCCCTCTAAAGATAAATAAATAAAATCTTAAAATTAAAAAAAAAAGAATATTTATCCCTATTTTTCAAATGTAATTTATGACAACTTTTTTGAAGAGTCTTGGCAGATCGTCTTGTGGAATGTCCCCCAGTCTGAATTTATCTAATTGTTTCCTCAGGATAAACTCCTTTTAAACATTTTTGGCAGAAATACATAGGTGTCCTTTGTGGAAATACGTTGTATCCTTCATAGTACACCATAATAGACATATGTCAATTTGTCCCATTTTTAGAATTCACTTACTTTTTGAGGATATTTGGGGTGAGGGTAGCACTGAGAGAACAAAGGGAACTGAGATACGTAATCTAGTCAGAGGGACTGCTGGTGGGTGGTGCAGTAAAAGACCAATGAAATGTGTTTGAGATACTTGCTGTAGATCATTTAGTAACATTTATTTGTGTAGTTAGTTACCAAACCCCTGCTGTCTGCTGTATGCTGGAGGTACGTAGCAATGAATAAGGTAGACACAGTTTTGTTTAATATTAAGTGGAAGGAGTAGACACTAATTAGTTTTGATAAGCCATATAAAATCTTAAGTTGCCTGTTTTAAGTAATGATTTAATTATAGTTTCACTTTAGTTCAGGAGGCACTGATGAACATTCTTTACCTCCTTTTCCAAGAGTCCTTTGGGATTTTGGCATGTTTATGAAGTTGGGCTTTTCCCAATGCAGCCAAGAAAAATACGTTAACTGCGCCTGATGGTGCAAGTTTATTTTTATTTTTCAATGGTTCGATGTCAGTGTATATAGGGTTTTTTTTTTTCATAAGGGTACAATGAAAACACTCTCATGGTTTAATTTAGATCTAAGCCCATTAACTATGAAATCTCTTTAAACAAAGGTTGATTGACTGGCGAAACTCTCTCTCTCTGAAATGGAAAACATTTGTTCCTCTTCTTAACCTAAGGGGATTTATTAAAATAATGGATTGACTCTAATCACTGGCTGTTTGAAAATAAAACTTTAAATTTATAATTCTATGTTCACCTTATTTACAGTTTTTCCTGCAGATGTATCGTCTACTTCTTTGTATCTTTTGTGTGAACTATTGACAGGCCTATAACACTAGGTATTGCTGTTTCTTTTTTTTTCACTCAGAGATATACCGCATTGTTTCCCAGAAGCAAATGTCAGACAGACGTGAAAATGACATGTCTCCAAGCAACAATGTGGTTCCTATTCATGTTCCACCAACCACTGAAAATAAGCCAAAGGTGCAGTGCTGTCAGAACATATAAGGCGTTTCTCTTCTCCCTTAGAAGGCTGTGTATAGTCCATTTCCCAGGTCTGAGATTTAAATATATTTGTAATTCTTGTGGTCACTTTTGTGTTTTATTACTTCCTTATACTTAATGAATGTTCCATGTTTTAAGTCTTTTGATTTCAGCTTTATAAAAATCATCTGTTTGTCCCGAATGACTGCAGCTTTTTTCATGCTATGGCATCACTAGCCTTAGTTTAATAAACTGAATGTTTGGATTCGTCAATTATTGTTTACTTTTCATCATGGAAAACTGTCACTGTAGGACATAATAGAACTTGATCACATGGAGCTCAGACCTGTTGATGTTGATCAAATCAAATTAAGAAGACTCTAGAAATAAGCTATCATTTTGCCACAGAGCAGCTTATAATTCATATACTCTTCTCTCAGTGCAGTCTATATTTCCACAAATTGCCCTGTAAACATAGCAGGATTTTGAGATCTTGAAAGTTTTCCATCACTCTGGAAGTCACTTTCTAAAATGCCTTAATAGGGTTACAGAGTTGAGTAATTTCTGGTTTTAATTTTTGTAAGCATCGAAGGTGATCTGAGAGGGCACTTTTTTGTTGGATGAGAATGACCTTGATAAACAGAAGACTGCATTGTGGTTGCAGCTGTGGTATGGACAGGGGGTCACGTGTTAGTGCCGTCTGGCAGGCCGGGAACTGGAGAGACTGGTGGAATTCCATCTGAGGCGGCTCTGTCGCGATGATCGGGCAGCCTGAGTTTGATGGTGTCGTTTAATTTATCTAATTTCCCAGCAGTAGATTATGCGGCATTTTATTGCTCAGGCAATAACCGGTTTAATGCTCTTAGTATCAAATTGTGAGATGTTAATTTTGTCTCAGAACTGTCCATTAATTGAAGTGTAACCCAGTTTTGTCTCCATATTCACCAGCAGGCATGGATAATTATGTTAACGATGCTGGTGTTTGAGTTTTGCAGTACATTATGGGATATAGTTCAGTTAGGTGTCTGGTTTCAATATGTCAAAAGAATACAGTGAGAGGTTAATTTCTGCTCAAGTGGTATCACTTAAAGGCATGTATTCTTTTAGTACTTAAGAGGAAATAGTACTTTGAGTTTAAATAGAATGCATTTAGGCCATTATACAGATTTTCCACTACATTATTGAAAAAAGTGGAGCAACTAGTTTCTCATTCAGAAATGTGCACACTAATATTTAGTTTTACTTTCTTGTGGATAATACTAAGCATTTACTCTGCAGTGTTCTGAAAGCTGTGTCAACTGAAGTGATACTATTCAGGGTGGTGGAATGTCCCCAAAATATACATGTGTGTGGGATTGCGTAGATTACTGTGTTTCGTAGTTGATCTCCTGTCTTGGCGATGCTCATGACGTGTGGGGTGCACCGAAGGCATCGCTGTGGTCGGTTGTTTGGTTTTCTTATGCATTTTAGTGTATTGGTATGAAGATTATTATCTATTTGTAAATCACTACTTTGTATTTTATGCATGCTCTGTAACTTTTTATTTTAGTTACTGATTTGGAATATATTCACATTCTAATAAACAGTTATAGGGGACTGTTCTTCATGTTGTCAGATTACATTTTCCCTTTGCTTCGGATGTAGCCGTGGAGTATTTGATTTCGATGAATGAGAACGTATAGGTCCTTTCATTACAGAGTAAACATTGAATTGGAGGCACCATTGTGCAAATTCAGCTTTGATTTTAGACAGGTAGTTCCATTATGCATTTCTCGGAAAAGGTATTACCAGAAATATAAGGGAAGTAATCACTGTCTGTATTTTCATACACATAGAACCGTGTCTCCCGACCCGGGAGGAGGCTCCATCACCACTTACTTTACTGAAAATCGGTAGTAAGTGTTTTACAGAATTATTTAAGAAAAGGGGAAACTCGATAGTGAATTGAAAGTGATAAAGTACCAGTAACTAAATTTTTATAAGTGTAGACTTACTGTTGCCTTGGGCATGGTTGGATCTTGGGCGCTTGGGAAACTGGAAGTAGTAGAAAATGGCTTTGATGGCATTTCAACAAGTACCTTCATTCTGAATAATATCTCAGGAGACAAACTGTCTTAAGTGAGAAACACTAAATTCTAAAATAGGACAATTTAGGGCTCAAGGCAGTTTAGTAGAAGTATTTTGCTGTTTGACCCTGCTTCTCAATTAATTTTGATTTTTTTTAACCTGTCTGTTATATTCTCCTGAAAAGTCAGTCAGCCATCTTTACTTGGTAAACTTACACGTGAATGTTCTCAAGTGCTATCTATGATATCTCTCTAGAAGCAGTTATTAACTCTGTAGGTGTAAGTTTTCTAATTTAGCCATTATGCTAAATTAGGATATGCTAAATTCTAAGGAGTTCTAGCCTGTGGCTTAATCCAGAGGTCTTTTTAAGTTCTGAAGGGTTCTGCAAAAAAGTTAAAACCACTTAAGGGTTTGGATTGCTCATAAAGCTAGTCATATTTATTTAATCATTGGGAAAATTAACCTCTTCATTTTTGTCTATTGACTTGTAGTTACAAAACACAAATGCTGTCAGTGGTTCGACCTATTGTGATAGTGTCTTCTGTCGACTTTAAAGAGACAAAAGTACTACTTAGATAACTTGGTCAATACCAGAAGCAGAATAATTCAAGGTCTGGGTAGAGAATTTAAAACTTTTTCCAACCTGTTAGATTTCAATTTACAGAGCTCTTTTAAAAGGGGGGAAATTGAAAATTGCTTTGATGTTTCACAAACATGACAAGCTTGGGAAAAATTTCAAAACAAAGTATCTGATTTTGTATAAGGACTGTGCATGATATGTACTCTCCCTGTGTGTGTGTGTTGGGGGGGGGGGCGGGAGGGAGAACAAAGACCATGAAAGCATCCTCCCACCACATCATTTAGAGCGTTAGCGTAACATGCTAGTGCTGAAGGCCAGAGGGCTGTCTTTTCCCTCCTGGTTGGGCCTGTGCTGGTGCCATAACCATTTTTCTGGGATTTGACGGGTCATCTTTTCCATCGCCAATACAATACAGGTCACCTTTTTCGCCGCCTGTACAATGTGCCAAATAAACTGGAGTTGACATTCTAAAGTTTTAAAGAATGGTTGTGTTTTCCCAAACTGTAGGGGGCTGATGGAAACAATAAAACAGCACAAAATGCTATTGTCATTACAACTTCGGTAAGGGAGAACCATTAGTCTGAGAGATAATTTAATTGAAGTATTCATTTCCCTGAAAATTGAGTTGGAAGGTAAAGACTGTTTGAAAGGAATTTGATACTAGGTAGACACTAGAAAATATGCAGACTCCGAGTTAAAAGAAAGTGGCAGGTATAATAGAGCACTGGACTGGGTGACAAAGACGGGATTCCAGTCACAGCTCTTCCGGTCATTTTACCTTTGAGCCTCACCTTCTAGTTAATGAGGGGTAGGATTACACCACTTCTGGGGTGCAGTTCAGTAATTCTGTGAATGAACTCTCTTCAGGTACTAGAGCCAGGTTATTCATTCTCAAATTTAAATGTCATAGCTAAGTAAAAATCAAGTGTATACTTTGCATGATTATTTTGGTTTTATCACAGTTTGATTAGAATGTTATCCTTATTTCCACATTAACTCCAGTAAATAGGATGAAGGCTTTCAGGACAGTTGCAGAATGTCAGTATCACAATATGAAATGCATCAAAGCACCATGTGTACCAAGGGGGCGGAGCACTTGATGGGCTGCCGAATCAGCTGTCAATTGAGAACTGCTTGGGTTTTTTTTGCTTTTGCTACTGAAATTGCTGGCTTTTAATATGTACTTTAAAATATATTCATTTCTGGGAGAGAACTTTTAAAAACATACTGTGTTTAACTTTTTTTATTATCTCTAATTGGAACCTACAGGAAGGTCAGTCAATCCATAGAGCTAGCCATCCAGTAGAATCAAAGATTGAATCTAAGAATATAAATTTATGTGTATAAATACAATATTAATGGCATTATTTGGCTATTAGCATGGTAATCTAGTAGTAGTCTTAAATATTTGAATTCAATTATTTAACATTATTAAGCACAGAATCGATGGGTCCTGGCACAGATGTCATGTATAATGGCTGTTAACCACTCTGTTTTCTGTACCAGTGATGGTAGTGAAAATTAGGAGCCAGCAGGATTCCTTTCCTACGTTTAAGTCAGTGGAACTGAACACCACCTCAGATGCAAAATCTTAGACCTTATGATCTCCACCCCAATGAGGAAGGGTACTGCTGCTTTTAGCACCCACTCCCCTACTGAAAACTTCCATTCTCTCAGCATACTGTCTTCTCAGATCTCTCCAGGGAAGTGGTATGGTTCCTTATCTTATCTTGAAGAAGTTGCTGGCTATTGCACTAGCCTCTTTGCCAAAGCATTTCATCATATGGGCCTAAGAACATATTATAGAAAGTCATGCCTGAAGCAGGACGGTCTGGGAAGCCCCAGGAAGCAACACTATTTCTACAGGCTGTCTTTGATACAAAAGCAATTCCGGGAGAGGATGTTAGGGTCCTCAGTTACTGGTCTTGCTTTACATTTAAGTGGATGCCTAAATAACAGTACTGTGTAAGATCTCAGGTGACCATGTTTTCTCTTACACAAGGCCCTGGAGGACCACCGTCTGCTGGGCCAGACAGTGGCTTGGGAGACAGAAACTGAATGAGGAGGGAATGTTACAATTCTACTTTATACACCAGAGTGTCTGTCTGTCTTATGTGGGTTTGGATTGGACCACTGCTCAGAGTCTTTCTAGCTTTGTAATCAGGGAAGAAAATATATAATTGGTACTCCACTAATTACCTGGACCCTCCATTTATATAATTATTATATAAAATTATTAATAGTATAATAATTATATAAAAGTATTACTAGTAATATAATAGTAGCAGGATACATCTCACTGTGTATTCATCTATCTTGGAAAAGGAGATTTTCCAACTCCTCTTTTGCCACATACTGATTAAAAGGGCCTGTGCTCCCTCTGGTTAGATGAATGGCTAATAGAATGTATCATTCTTGAATCTTCTATATTGAATACACGACCTGCAGCCCAGTGTGGTGTTGGATAGTATTCTGAGCCTCCCAAGACATAAACTGTTATTCTCAGTAAATACTCTTTTTAGCCTTGTAACTCATGATTATGTTTTATTTTTCACTAAGATGCCCAGCTCCAGCCCTTGAGCGTTGTCTGTTAAGAGGAGGTTCTTTTCTGAACGAGTCTTACTCTCTAACCAGAAGAATTGTATTTTTGGTTAAACATTTTTACTAAATAGGAGTAACTCTTGAGTATTGCATAAGCCTTGTGAACAGATAAGTTGAAATATTTTAATTGGACAAGTAAGCATAAACCTTTGAAAGTCTTGAAGGAGAAATTTTAAATTTACACCATGGAATACATTTAGTAAGCTGTTTTTTACAATCTGTATTTTATAACAAAATTGATCCTGCTGCTTCTTTACTACTTAGGTCACAAGGTTATGTTTTGAAAGGTCCTTCAACAGATGCACCCAGAGTACTGTACTGGGTGATATCTGCCAGTGGAAAGCTAGTCATTGCTCTTATGCAAATTAGGTGGCGCTTATACTCACCTTTATTCTGTTCCACAGAACTGCCTTTGTACCTCTGGAGCTGAGCACAAGCTGTAATAGATGCTTTTGAGTTCAGATCTTTGTGAAAGCAGAGAAATTCTCTATTCGAATACTGATGTTTATATTTCAGTAACTTTATGACACTAATTAAGAATATGTAGCTTCTGTTTATTACTTGAAAGGAAGAGACTCTCGTTATAAACTTGACAGAACTTTTTCACTTTAGTTTCAAGCATCAATGGGATAATTTCTATTTTCCCAGCTGTCTAAAGTGACCACACAAAATGTAGGTTAGTTCCTACCGTTAAACCTAAGGTGTAGATTATAGACACATTTTTGGTTTGCAACACAACACAGCAATAGGCATTCCTATAAATCAGTTTGAGAAATTAATTTTATTTTGTACAAGGTCTGATCCCTCTGCACAGTGAACAAATATAAATCTCGGTTGTTTAAAAAAGTATTGCCATTTCATAGTCCCACTTATGCTATTACACAATAATTGTGTTTTCTTTATTCATTTGAATTATATGCAGATCACTTTGAGTGAAAACTTAGTTTCCATAAACTAATTGAACAGATCTTTTCAAGCTGTCAATAAAATGCACAGTGACGCATTTAGGCTCACCATGAATTTACTTGCGACAGTGCTAGACAGAAGTTCCTAATAGTTGCTCTGTAAGATTCAAATGTCATTTACTAGTAACTCTTAGATAATGTGAAGACAACAGTTGTTACCATTGATTAATCATGCCCTGTGTCTTTCCCTGTTCCTGTGTTGCCTGATTGAATTTGCAGTACATTTCTTTAAAAATGAGAATGCTAGAGCTGAAGGGTTTTAGGGTTCCCTTATCCCTCTTGGCTACTCCTTTTTTTTTTTTTTACATACAGGGGTAAGGGGTAAAAAGAGCCTCGAGAAGGCAAGTAACATTCAAATCTCTTGACCCAGTGCTTTAGCATTTCCACCCTGCCACCTCTTGCTGAAATTGGCACAGAAGATAGTTGGCAAAAAAGAGGTGAAACTTGAAACTTGGGTGGGTGATGGTGCTTGTTTGCAGCTTGCCAGGCAGCAGTTACTTACATGCAGGGGGAGGGAAGAAGATAAACCTGGGATTGAGATGGAGTTTCTCCCTGCTGATCTGACTTCACCATGATTCTCCGTCCTTGCTTCACAAAGATAATGGAGTACTTGCTGCCTTGAAATATGGAGGTAAGTCTCTTATCTATACTTCTTTCTACATATGTATGAGAAATATTTACTTGGGTCTACAAAGTAATTTTCTAGTATTTTATTTAATAAGGCATTTTTGGAAAGTAAATTTGCTATTGCTGATCACTTGCTCCCATGCACACATGCAACATTCATGTTAAGTATTAGATATTTTTCCCTAACTTTTGCTTAAGCCTTGAGTGAAGTGGGGGAGGGGTGTTTACTCATCATTTTTCTCCCTTTTGCTGGTTATTGCCCAAACGAATGGGTTCCATGGCAGACTTCCAATTTGTATCAAGAGTTTCAGAACTCCCACACTTGCTGTAGCAGTTACTCCAGCTTTGCAGTCATGTAGTTCCTTTTTTGTATACCTTTTGGAAGTATTTTTACTCGCTGAACTGTTGTCAAAGAATACAGTGATACAGGGATGGCCATTAGTTTTCTCACTTTGCCCTTTCTGTCTTTAATTCTTGTGAGAAGGTTATCTTCAGGGCTTGGGAGTTGGCTCCATTTTGACCCATCTGAGCCCCAGTTTATCTACATACATTAGTAATGACAGGTATGGACACATTTGAATACTGGGAGCTGGAGCATTAGCTCATCGCAATTCAGTTTGGGCCATCTCAGCAGGTGGTGAGCTGAAGGTAGAAATACTTAACACCCTCAATGCTGTTCACTGTAAAGTTTTTATATCATGTAAGAAGCAACCTGACAACATTCCATTCTTTGATCATTTCAATTTAGTTCCATCAAAAAGCATAATGTACTTTAAGCAATTTAATCTTGACATACCCTCTTTGGTCTCATTTTCTCTACACTTTTAGGTTTCATATTACATCAAGCTCAAGACAAACGAAGAAATACTTAAAAGCACACACTCTTCTGAGTCAGTTGAGGAATGCCAACCAAATAAATTTGAGAGGCCACATAGCCATTTTTAGGGATACTTAATCCTTGTCGGCCTATGACTGCTTGCTTAAAGCATCATCTCAGTTTTATTTCTCATGGAACGACTTGGGTGTTGGGTGGATGACAAGGCCAAGGATGACTTGCAATGTTCTGGAACATTGGGTTGGCAGGAGTTGGTAAAAAGCGGATCCAGAAGTACCGTCATAGACTGAAAGGGGCTGTTGAGCTTTGAAAACTCATTTTCTTCCTCCCGCAGGGGCAGAAGAGGGAAAATTAATTTCTATTTATTTAAGTCTTGTTTTTAAAAATTGAAGTTGTTAGCATTGGACTATGTAATAAACTCTGTAATCTTGGCCATTGTAATTCGATGGACCCGATATATATGTACAGGTATTTTAGGACCGATATTAACACAGTTTATGTCTGTGCACTAATTAGCTTAGGTAATCAAACAGGTGTTGATGCTAACAGCAACTAGAAGTACATACACATTTTTGGTATTTTAAGTTAATCCTTTCTCCTCCCCATTCCCCTTCTCCCCCAGGAAGGTTTGTAAAACCTATTTTACATGCTTTTTTAAGCATCGTGTTTCAGATAATTAAATATATAAATAAATATATTTAGCTATAGTTAGCCGATGTTGAATACTGTATCCTAAATGTTTTGAAATATCATATAATCCAAGGCATCCAGGGTTGGGGTTGGGGGGGTGGTAGTATTTGCCTTTGTGAAGACCATTTGAACAATACCCCAGTCCCACTTGGAAGCTCTTCTTTAGTTTCAGGTGGAAGTAATAACTAACACGCAGCTGGAGTCAGTCTGTACCATTATTTCGAGTCAAGGGATTGTCTTCTTTCAGAGAGTCAGAGAATGTTCAGCAGAGCACACTGCAAGAGAGAAGCTTATCCCTCGTAAGACTGCTTGTCCTGGAAGGGCTCACTGGTGGGGCTCTGCCTCACAGGGAGGAGGTCATAATGACCAGGAATATGGCTGTTCCTAGGTAGGTCGTATGGATTCTGGATATGGCTGGAGTTATGACCACGGCCTTCTTGGACCACACTGACTGTGGGCTCTAAGGAATATAGTGAAAAATGAGTTCAGAGAACAGATTAGCTTTGGTTGCCTTGTTGGGGGGAAGAGTTCTACTTAACTGGGTGGGGAGAGAAGCCAGGGATTTATAAATCCGTGATAAATATATGAGGGATAAGACTGAGGCTTGCTCAAGAGATGGAGAACATCAGTGAGCATTCTGTCAGAATCCCAGGCTCTGGTCAAAACCAAGAGATTTAGAATATCCTAGAAGTAGGGAGTGTTACAGATGAGCCCAGGGACATGGGTTAAACGAGAAAGTAGAAGGTGGTGATTTAGAAAGTTAAATGTTCTCATTCTTACATTTTTTAAACTGGGATTTGTGTTGATGACCAGTTGAGGTGTGTGCGTGTTACCCACGCCCTATCCCACGTATTTCTGCTTCATACTAGTCCTGGTGTTTGTTTGTTTTTTTAAAGCGGAGTTGACACAAGAGTTTGATTTCCTGCATAAGGGAGGAGGGCAGCCCTGGGAAAAGCAGTGCACCTTGGACTCCTTAGAAAGCAGCGAAAGAAAAGGTGTGTTTTCAAGACAGGGTGAGTGGAGAGGGATTGTTTTTCACTTCAGATGCTGTGCTGTTGCCCTGATTTCACTAAGGTACTTATTTGAGACACCTACCAACTTCATATATATTTTTATTAGATGTCGACAAGGATGGCACATCTGTGTACGGAGACCCCCTGTGCACAGGCGACTTCATTTCTACATAGCTGTTTTCTGGAAGCTTGCAGGTGAGGATGGGTGGGTCCTTAATTGTGGCGTAAGGGTTTTCACTGCTATTCAAGGAACAAGTGCTAGAACTGCACACAGATTCTTTCATGTAATCTGCAAGGCAAGAGAGATTTCTTAGGACAAGCAAGGACATACAGCTTAATTTAAATACCAGAGACAGACTGTAGTCAAGTTCATGTGCTTTTGGAATTCTGCACCTATAAAAGCCTGTGGTGGACCAAGATTTACTTATTAAATATGTTGAGAGTTTTCCCAGGTAGACAGAGTTCTTTTTCTTAAAGAAAACACATGTTTTTGGAGGGATGGGAAGATTTTTGTTTTTAGTACTCAGTTACAGCACCAGAAAGAGATGAATTCAAGATATTCATGATGTACTTTTACATCTTTTATTACATGTTTTTACAAAGTTTTGCAAAGATAGTTGGTAGTTTGCGTTGTGTTCCTATACAGTGGAATGGCCTAGAGAGACGAAGTGACTTGGCTGAGATCACGCAGTTCTTACATGGCAGTGCCAGGACTGTAGCCTGCGCCGCGGGACTCCTTGGCCTGTACATTTCCCATAATACCATTCTCCTGAAAATTCTCTGATTAAGCAGCTTAGGTTTAGAAGGAGTAGAAAGAGTGTGTGTGAGTGTGTGAGTGTGTGAGTGTGTGTGTGTGTGTTTTGGTGCAGGTGTCACCAATTTGGCATGCTTTCATCAGCCAGCTGGCTGCATCCCAGCTCTCTGAGAAGCTGGTGGTCAGAGGTGGGGCAGACAGAAGTGTAATAGAGGTGTCAGAAGCGCTGGAGTCTCAAAGCCAGCATTTGGAAAGTTCCCATTTTGGTAGTAACTTTCTCTGACACTAGCGCTTCCTCCCCTGCCCCCTCTCAGGCATGCGTCATCCCTAAGACTTCAGGGTCTGTCAGGGTAAAGGGATGAAAACTAGTTCCAAGCATGAAGCCAAGTAACTAGCTCCACTAGAGAAAGAAAGTTTTCTTTGTGACTGGGAGTCACAGGAGGAAAGGGGAGCCCTTCCCTCAACCTCTGCTGTCTCTTGTAGATTGTCCCAAGTGAGTTAGGACTTTATCACTCTTACTCTCTCTAATCTGGCAGTTTCGGTCCTCCTCTGCCTGGGGCTCTACCAGCCGGGTGAGAACAACCACTCAGTTGGAGGGGCTTGATAGTTGAGAGTGACCTAAGTGGCCTCTGAGCTCTAAATTTCTACAAGTGGTAGCAGATGGTGATATTCTTGGATCTGCTCAAGAGCTACCCCAAGTTACATTTGTGCTGCTATTTATCTATGCTTTCAGCCTTCAGCATGTGAAATTAATGGAATGTAAAAAAGTGGAAGTGAAAATGTAACTCAAGGGAGGACTGGATAGATGTATCTTGGTCAGTGAGAGCAGAACAGACAGAACACTCCATGTGGCTGAAGGAATTGAGGGTGTGTGTGGTAACAAGTTGTTTTTTACCCCTAATAGGTGGTTGGGAGGGGGTTTACTTTCCTCTTGGTGTAGAGTTACTGATGACTGTTTCATTAGGTGACATTTCCTCAATCTTGTGCAAAAAAGTACATTGGCCCCGTTAGTTCCTTCAAGTGTTCATAACACCCTGTGATGTAGGTAGAGCAATAATATTATCCACCCCCGCTTAATTGCTTATGAGGAAATTGAGGCTTGGCGTGGGGTAGTGACTTCCCCAGCCATACTGCAAATCAGTAGCAAAGCAAGCTCTAGAAGCAGGCTCAGAGCACTCTTTCATCACAGCTTAGCCCATGGTGGAGAGGAGTAGTGGCTTGGTTTCATTATAGATTATGGCCTCTTCTAGCATATTACCCTAGACAGAAGGAGGAGAAAACCATTCTTGCTAGACAATGAATGAGTGGTCCCAGCAAGGATTGAAGGGAGGCTGGATCAGCCCAGCTGCTGGTGAGGTTCAATGGGGAAAGGTGGCTGCAGGTCCTGGGCCAGGCGTGTTTGCCTCTAGTGAGTGCTATGTTTGAGCAGGGAGTGGGGAACCCTGGCAGCATGGGTCATTGGTTCGCTTTGGGTGATGGGAACTCACCAGCCAGGGAGTAAGGCCATATGACTCATGGATTGTTTGCAAGCTGAGGACTGGAATTGTTTAAAGAAGGGCTTTCTCCTGAGAAAAGTCCTAACACTTCTGCCCTCCTCCCCTCCCAGATGCATCTTTTTACTTTGACTGGCAGCTGCTTTAGTTGCATATTTTCTAGAACTTAAGGAATAGCTTTATTTGTGTGGCACTTAAAAACTAGCATTTCAGGTTAGTCATTTGAAACTTGTTAACATCTGTTACAGCTGGGCAGGAAGGACTAGTATTACTACTTTAGAAATGAGGAAACTGAAGCTCATAAAGTTTGCTTAATGTTAGTAGGTAATAAGGACTCAACCCCTGTTTTCTCTGATAACCAGTCAAGCTGCTTTTTCCTCCCACCAGTTTCTTCCTGCTCCTCGGCTCCTCTGGTACCTCTACACGCACAGTGGTCTGCAGCAGCTTCGCCTTACCTTCGCGGGAACACCGTTTGTCCGTGAGAGAGGACGGCCGAGCCTGAGCGTTGTGGTGGATATCCCACGACTGACTCGGTTATGGCAGTGGGAGAGACCTAGCTCCACGCCTGCAAGAGCCCCAGGCAGGCAGTAGAGCCCCTCTGTTCATGTCACCAGAAAAGTCAGAGCTGCTTCCAAATTGGGGGAATGAATTGTTTGCTGTGCAGCAGGGGACACACCTAAATGGGTGGAAGAGAAGTTGGGGTTGTGGGGGAGGGGATTCGTGTTAGGGAGAAACTATCTCCCATAAAGGGGCAAGTGGTAAAGACAGGGATGGAGGCGTGTGTGTATGTGTAGGGGAGAGTGTTGAGTTATGAATAATAATCTGGGTTCCTGTTTGGGAGCTGGAAGTGGGGGGAGGGCTAGGCAAGCTTAGCCCTAGCCCAAGTGGGGAAAAGGCTGCTTCTGGAAACTACTCTTTTTCTCCAGCTGATTTGTTTACCTGCCTGCCCAGAGGGAGGGTGGGATGAGGGGAGGAGTAGCCAGTCGCTCTAAGATACTTCCTCATCCTTTTAGAGCTCCACCCTACCCCCCCCCCCCCCCCGTACTTCAGGGCATTTTGCAAAGGGGAAGCATCAACCAAGGCTACCCAAGCTCTGGAGAGTCCTTCTCCAAGACCTGTAATTAGCAATTAGCATAAGTACTAAAGGTTTAGCCCTATTATGCCCTGGTATTTACTCTCACTTTGTTCCTACCTCCCCCAAATCACAGGCAGCCATATACTATGGGAGGCTGAAGGGGCCTCTGAAATGACCTAATGTAAATATTTGATGAAAGGAAGCAGCAATTCCAGAGGGGGAGGTGACTTTCCAAGGCCACCTTGTGAGTGGGATCTGAATTTACCAGGGCTTTTGTATTCAACTATCTAGTTAAGACCAATATTATGGGAAAAACCCAGGGGGGAAAAAAAAAACTCCTGGGAAAACCCAGGCACTGCAAGGCCTTCTTAGCTGACTGCTCTTATCAGAAGGCCACACTCTTCCTGGGCCTAAATTAGCTTCCTTCTCTTGACTGAGAAACGAGAATATTCGCAGAGGGAATGGACATCTCAGGACAATCACATTAGCTGAAAAAAGTTGTGCAGTGTCAGTGGGTTCCTAACTACCTTGGAACCCAGGGGAACTACAAGAGGAATCGTTGTGCTGAGGGTGAGAAGCGGAAGGGACAACAAAAGGTGTTTGAGAGGTGGTGACTTGCGGTTAGCACGGCAGGGTGTGGTCTCACGTGACCTCCAGGACGACAGTGAGTGGGGGTCTTCAGTGGAGAGTAACAGGGGAAAGAGGGAGTATTGACTGAATTCATGACTTTCAGAATGTCACACTGGAAAGGGCCCCAGAGTCAGTGCCTGTACAACGCTGTCCTCCGAGTAGAGGGATGTACCTAGACCCAGGAAACAGCGCCGTGACCTAGCGAGTGCCACACCGCACCACACAGCAAGAACTAGGGCTGGGACCGATGTCTTAACTCCCACGCCAGGGCTCCTTCTGAGTTAGAGAACACTTAGACTCTTCATTCTTAACTGTGGCCAGTAGGTTTAGAAAATAATTTCATTCTTGGTACAAACTAGTTTATTAAGTGTTAATTTGGGAGTTCAGCCCGTTAGTGTGGGTTTATTCCATGTCTGATAAGTACTTCTGTAAAGATCTGAATTGTGACATTCCATTTTCCTGTCTTTGAATTCTCTTGTTTACACGTGTTGGTCCCCAGTAACTTCTGGTACATTTGCCTGCACAGCCCTCTTTTCTCTGTAATGTAAAGGGCAGTTGTAGCCTGAGTAGTGAAATAATTATCTGCACTCAGAGGCTCAAATGTGAGCATATGACCTCACAAAACAGGAATGAATGACGATGAGGCAGAGACCATGCTCTCCTTAGTTTTTGTTTCACATTCGGTTGCAAGTCTGAAAGTTGCCACTCTGGTCACGATGCACAGGACAACGAAGCACATAGGAAAGTTGTGTGCTCATTTATCGAGGTGCCTGGGCCTGTCTGAGCTTGTGCACGATTGGGTCATGCATATTCTCAGAGCTGACAAGGCCCTTAACAGTATTTCTGCCCAATTCTTACGCCTTTTTGAGACACAGGTCCCAGGTCACAGTCCTAAAGCAGCAGTGCTGCCTTGCTGTAATGGCACTCGCATTCACAGGGATGGTTGAAGTCAAAACTCACAGGAAATTGGCAGAATGATGCTCCCGGGGGAGTAGTGTCCTTCAGCCAGGAGCTGAGAGATGAAGTCCTGTCCTCAGATCATTCTCTTGAGCAATGTGCCTCCTAACGTGTGCTCATGGAGACCTGCCCTTCCTGTTCCTTTGCTCAGAACACAGTTCTCACCACCAGCACCCGCCCAGCTTACGCCATTTCTCACAGCCACCGCACCAGGGGCTACAGATGACCAGCTCTCCTTGGTTCGCAGATGGTTGCGTCTGTGTCTCAGGTTGGGTCTGAAAGACCAGAATGGTAGTCTGGGAAATCTGGGCCAGTCTAAACCAGTGTTTACTAAATGGTAGTTGGGTGATGAGCTGCATAAGGATACCCTGAGGTACTCTGTGCAAATGCAGATTCTAGGGCCCCACTCTAGATCTGCTGCATCAGAATCTTGGGGTGGTAGGAATGTGAACATCTGCAGTTTTAGCAAGCTTTCCAGCTACTTCTGGTGCACAGCCAGACTTAGGATATCCATTGGGACCTCTGCCGTCAGTCATCTCTTACGTCTTGTGGTTGAGACTCTCAAACGGACCTCAGAGACAGAAGGACAGCCCATTTACGTTAGTGCAGTCCTTCACAATATGCAGAACCCTTTCCTAGCTGTGATTTTATTGAATACTCATGACAGTCTTGTTAGACAATAAGACAGGCATAATTATCCCAAACTTGCAGAGGAGGAAACTAGGCCTTGGAGAGCTCACAGTCTAAGGCCTCAGTTAATAAGTAACACAGCAATGAGTGTCACAGTTTCGAAGCAGCCTGTTTCATACAGTCTGTCATTTAGACCGAGGGCCTAAGCCCAGGGGCAGGACCTGACCTTTCATCTTGGCTTCACCCGTGGACTTCCTCGAAGGGTGATCCCACTTAGAGTTCCCGTGTGTTGAGACCAGCCTTGGCGTCTCTGCTCTCAGGGGCAGGGAGCTCTTGAGGGTGGAGAGCCGTACAATACTAGGGTATCATTTCCATTCCTTATGCCCCAGAAAGCCAGCAGGTGCAGGGTGGCATTGCTTAGCAGTGAAATGACAGGAGGCCTCGGGGGCAAGTAGATTGACTTTATTTCAGACTTTTAATCAGTGTAACTCCTACTAATTGGTTGGATAATGACGTTCTACATTTCCGAAGACATTTAGTTGGCATCTATAAAAAACCCACAGCGTTTGCTAAGCAGGTGCAACTGAAACCGAAAGATGAATTCATCATTATGGTTGCTCCTCCTGGGCAGAGCTACCCAGCAGCCCCAGGTCCTGTTGTCTTAACTTTTGGGGGGATTTGGGGGAAGAGGTGCACAGTTTCTGGTAGAATTTCTGGCCATTTCAGATCTGTGCTCTTTATCTTGCTAAGCCCTTTCTAATGGGACGTCAGGATTGGATACTCTACCTTTGAAGCCTTTGTCCATAATGTATGTGTTTTGACGTCTATCCATTCCACAAGCTCCTGCAGACAGAATATAAGGAAAAAATTAGGGGGGGTGAGTGAGGTTTACTTGAACTTCATGTGTTGGCTTTAATTTTTTTTTTTTTTGCCTTTTTCTCTTTCTCCCCTACCCAGAAAATAAATGGTTCTTTAGTGCTAGAAAATTATTCTGGGTTTACTGTACTCTAAGCCTTTATGACCATATAGGAAATTCTTAAAAGGCTCTTAAGCATTTACGGTGAGCTACAGCGCCCCCTGGCATTCTCAGCATTCCTTCTCTTTAACCTTCGCTCTGAGGGGAACGTTTTCCAGGAGGCAATCAAAGGCAGTTCTGATGCCACCTGCCGTCACTATAGGTGAAGTTCCAGGCTCCAAAAGCATAGGATAAAGGATGAGTCAGAACCATTTCTTAGCTTGGGACGGGTGCATGACATTCCAAATCCTGGTTCTGTTGGGTTTTAGAACAAGGTGGAAGACTCTTTCTTACCTCTCAGCTCCAGCCCTGCCTCTCCTCTCCTGGATCAGGAGCTGGACTGAGGGGCCTGGGAGAGGGAGGTGGCCAGGGGGCTGAGGATCTTGAATAACCATCTTTACGGGATGTACAGTCATCCCCACCCACAGCCAGCATTCTCAGTGTTTCATCCTCAGGCAGACCACTTAGACCTAATTGAGAGCTGTCTTTGGAAAGTATTGCCAGTGTTTTTCAGTGCCAAGGATTTCTCTTCTCCCTTTTAGCTGTCCCAGTTTACCCCACGCTCCCCAGTGCATTGTCCTGAGCTCTGCTATAGGCAGGACATACAGCTTCACAGACCAAGCTCAGGTTCTTTGCTGCAGTTGATCCCAGAAGAGAAATTGTCTGGCATTTTTAGTTTGGGGCAGTAATGACACTGGCTCTGAGTCAAAGCCGTTCATTTTTCCCCACAGCTTTTAACTGAGGACCAGGAAAGGCATGCAGCAAGTGCTCACTAGAGCACAGTTTTGCTCCTCTTGACTCTGAGTTTCTGATACTGAAAACCAACCCGCTGCTATTTAGATACCTCCCCATATCTCCGCCACATAGAGTTCCCAAGTGAATTTAATTTATCCCTGTCTGCTGCCTTCCCGTGAGTGATAGGGCAGAACCAGGTCTCAGGTTTTCTCAAGTTCGCTATTCTTCTAGTGGCTTATAGGTACCTGTGTCCTTCAGAAACGTGGCTGCAGCAATCTGTATCCCTGGCATTAGTTCACTTCGTACAAGACAAGGGCTTCCTTTGCCCTCCCCAAGGGACAGAGGCTCGACTGTTAACTTTTCCCCTCTCCATACAACAGGAAATGGAGGCCCAGAGAGGGGTAGTGACTCATCTGAGACCATAC